ATGTATGTTTAATGTATGTTTGTAGTTTGTATGCTACTGGATTCTTGAATTTCTCTCGGGATAAGTAAAGTATCTATCTATCTCTATCTATCTATGAACTACACAATGAACCCAAATAAAACACAATAACTGCAGGAAGTTTGTGGATAAATTTGAGCAGATAATTTCCTGTGAATATTAATCAGAGAAGGGTTGTCCTGATATTTTTGGGAACTTTTTATACAATTCTTTGTCTATATCATGTTTTTTTAATATATTTTTTAACAATCATATATACTTAATAGACTTAATTTCCCCTGACGCTTGGTCATTGTTCTGTTAGCTCTTTGACTGTTTTATCTGCGTACTTTTCTACCACAGGGCGACGCTTTGTATCAGAGCGTGAAGGCTCTGTGAATATAGCTTGTGTTCAGGTCTTCAAAGTTTAGATCTTAAATAATGTTCTAATATTTAAACAGTAATTAAATGTAGTTGTTTTTCACAGAACCAGATGAAATGCTGACATATAGGCCTACTGTGTACATTTTTAAAGTTTTCTTACTCCCCTTAAAATCAAGAAGGCCTCGCGACCCCCTGTGAATCTCTGGCGACCCCTAGGTTTACAACAGGCGTCTCAAACTCAAATTGGCCCCGGGGCCACTGCTGGTAGTGTCATCTCATATGATTTTTATATCATCAAATGAAGGCTCGAAACCTGCTCGAAACCTGCTCTCATCTTATCAACCCTTTGAAGGCACCTTTGACCTTTGCCACTATTTTGCACCAAATGATATACATTTTTTTTAAAGGTCCGGTGTGTAACATTTAGGAGGATCTATTAGCAGAAATATAATATAATATTCATAGGTGTGTTAAGTATTAGTGTATAATCTATAATCACCTGAATATAAGAATATATGTTTTTGTGCAATTTGCAATTACACCGCTACATGCTGGTCCTTTAAAATAGAGTTGTATTTTTTATTTTAATTGCATATGAAGTGGTAGTTTGAACTAATATGAAACAACTAGAACAAAAAATTAAAAATAATAATAATCTTGTGGGCCAGATTGTATATTTTTGAGTTTGAGACCCCTGGTTTAGCACCTGTTGTTCTGTCCTTTACACAGTGGTGCCAGGATGAGTTTCAACATTGGGGTGGGGGGACTTAAACTTCTTTTTAATCTCAGCCTAACCTAATTTTTGTACAGCTAAAATATGGAAAGAAGTCAGTGTTTCCTCTGGATGCCTCTTTAGTTTGTGGCTGTTCAGTCTCCTGTGGCTGTGATTATGATTTCATTTCACTATTTCAACTCCCTTTTGTTTAATTGTAAACCAAACTGAACCAAAAATGTACAACAGTTTTAGTTCCTCTTCACTATATTACAAGCACTTCATGAAGATAATGACTCTTTTCTTTGTGAAGATGGTAACACACCTAAAACTATATATTACTACTATATAAAACATACTATATATTCGCCACATATTGTGATATTTCTGATGTGGTGTGGTAATCTTACATTATAACTAATAATAACTATGTTTGCAGGATTGTATTTAAATTAATGTTGGCACAAAGTATGTTCCTTTCATGAAGAACGTTTTGTTCACAGATTTAAGTAATAATAAAGGCCGCATTCCATTTAGGTGCGTCACACCTACATGGAATTAAACTGCCATTGTTATTAGTTAAACCTGATTTTCCTGTTATGCCCTGTCTAAACATGTGCCCTGAAACTAAACGTTCCACTTTACGTACATAAGAAGAATGAGACATGCAATTACAGTTTCCATTAAATCAAAAGTAGTTTATTTAATTTTGCCTTCTCTGTATAACTTTATTATAATAAGACACTTCTCTGCTTGTACATTGCTCCCTTGAACTAAAAATGGCAACATTTGTTTGTGGGAATGTAAGTTGGGGTAGACAAAACTTAGATACATACCAATATACATACATGTGTGTATATTATGGTTCCATTAATAAAACCATAAATGCTAAAAACAGTTTGAACCACTCCAGGTACCTTGGTAATGCTGGAAACAGTACAATCTTTGAGTTTTTTTTTTTCTGGAATACACTATTGTTTTCTTTAAACATGGGTACATAAAATAATGCGCACATCAACATTAAGAGTTAAGGAGGGATGAAGGACTCTTTGAGCCAGTGTTAAGTGTACAGCTATCAATGTATAAACCAGTATCAGGCAAGGCAAGCTGCACCCATGGCTGTGTGTTCATGCTTAGAAGAAGTCAGTGAAAAATATGTCCAACTTCACTTGCCTGCTGAAGAATGTATGCTTAAATTACACAAAAAAATAACCTGGTGAAGTTTTCCACTGTATGTTCTTCATTTGGATGAACAACATATACACACAGCTGGATGTATATATGTGGATGTATTTAAGAAACAGTAGAATTGTCTTAATATCGGTTAAATCAAGTGTGGGCAAACAAGGCAGAAAGTGCTTGCCATTCATGTTAACCCCCTGGTCCCCACCCCTTCCCGAGTTATTACACAGACGCCAGGAAACGCGCACATGCCACACACATACACACAAGCACGCACGCACATACACAAATCATCAAATGCCCAACTCGTAACATCCCAGAGACGACCTTCAAACTGTTGTCAGTAAACAAACAAACCCCAACTTACAGCAGTGACAGAATTGATGCAGATGTAAAATCTATTTAGTTCACACTGGATGTAGTCTCCGGTTATTTTTCAAGCTGTGTGCCATTTTATGTCTTTTATGTATGATACAAACTATGTTTACAAGTGTAATATTTCCTCAACGCTCCAGGTCAGCATTATTTGTATTACGAGTGAAATCTTGGAAACCGTACGAACTGTAGAAGGGGACTCGACAGTCACCCTTCAGCATTGTCCTGAATTCAATTAGTGTGGGCTACTGGTTGCCACCACGTACTCAAACAGCCATCCCGAGAACACACACTTTGAAAAATACTTCCTCAGACAAGGAGCTTTTGGTAGTAGTCCTTCTTGGTGTGAGGAGTCTCCACAAGAGCACAGAGAGGGGAGGGGGGTGATAGTACAATACTCAGCCTGTACTCTGGGCCCAGACAGAGTACCTGTCCTGATCTGTCACAAGTAACTTTCCCAAAAACATAAACACAAAGAAGAGAAAGAAAAAAAGAAAACAAGGAAGAAAAAAATAAAAATAAACAGCAACCATGGACTTTTGTTATACTACAAGGAGTGCTTATTAGAACATATTCAATTACCTATTGAAGCATAAACAATTTTATGAAACAAGTTTTTCTTTATTCCATCATGACCTACATTTTCCTTCCATAAAATGAAAGTCACTGAGGAAATGATGGTTGTTAAAATAAAGCCATCAAGCTATCAATACAGTCTTCAGAGGGTAAACAAAACTCAAGAATGAGAGAATAAAACTATTGTCCAGCCAGGGGAAACTTTGATTTAGATTTTTGCAGGTGAAGAAGACACTATGATGAGGCTGAAAAAGCCTTTCCTAAAAAAAAAAAAGAAAAAAAGGACCAACCAATAGCTAATGAAATGTCAGAGCAGGTCAACTAATTGGGGGAAAAAAAATCATCACACCATCTATCTGAACAAGCAGCAGAAACATTGATATTAAAGACAAATCAATGCAAGTGTAGGTGAGCACTGAGCAGTAGTACTTCCATGGGTCTGGATCACAGTAATCAGAGACATACTTTGCAGGAGACCAAAAAGTCAGTGTAAGCAGGAATTGGGGAATTTAGTAAAAAGGTATTTTAATGACCTGCTTTTTAGAAGAAAAAACACACACCCCTAACAATTCCCAGAGGCTGAAACTTAACTGACACGCGGCCAAAAAACAAAACAAAAAAAAAAAGACACAAAGAGAAACAAAACATCTTATGTTACATTGTTCTCATTAAAAGATGAAGCTGCACTCTTTCCCTTTGTGAGGGAAGTAATGCAGAACTGCACTACTGAATACCACCCAAGGCCAAAGTGTGGTAGAAATATACACAGGTACATAAATATAAAAATTAGCCCAATCCAAACATTTTTGCCAATTTAATCCCACATTTTCATTTTGCACCCACACGACTGCATGTGTTCCATGTATTTGTAAAGATGTCATATTTGTGCTTGTATATGCGAGTGTGTGTGGAGCTCTGTGTGAATGTCTTCTGTCAAAACCACGTGCACCTCCATTGCAGAACCACATGCTTGTCAAATCCAACTGGGGTGAGATTCTTGAGGGGAGGTTAAAGGGAGGGAGGGGAGGTTAAAGGGAGGGAGGGGAGGG